ACAAACTGTCCTTCTTCCTCTGGGTAGTTTATATAACACTCAGCATCACTTCTCAGCATCATTCATCTTTTAAAGATTACTATAAATGCCATGCTTTTTGTGAAACTTGCCTCAACCAATCTGTTCCTCATGTGTATTGTCCTCTGAATTTCTGGATGCTATGACCATGGCAATGTGATACTTGATTACTTGCTAATGTTGTGTTTTAACTGTTTGGCACAATGCTTGACCTCTTCTGGTATAAGAATGGTATTGTCAATGCATAGGTTCCAAATCCAACTATTTAGAGAAATTTGGGTAAGACACCAGTAGGGAAACCCTTTGAAATAAATCCTGTCTAAATGCAAAGACAGTTTCAGTGACCTCAATGGTAAGAGAATGGTGGTTACAGTAGACAGAGTTTTTCAATCTCTGTACTATGACATTTATAGATAGATAATTCTCTATTATGGGGAGCTGTCTTATGCACTGTAGAATTGTGTATTAACATCCCTGGCTCCTACCAACCACAAACCAGTAGGCTTTTCTCTACCATATTTATGAAAAACAGATATGTCTTAAAATGTTCCCTGAAGGCAAAGTCATTCATAATGGGAAACCACTGCAGTGAACAAATGCAGGATTACCCTTAAAGAAAGGGCCAAAAGGGCTCTCTCCGAAGCTTCCAACATCAGGATTCTTTGATATTGTTACAAAACTGTCAAGTTATTATTTGTTATTATGAGAAAAAATAATATCCCCAAGTTCTCTATTAGGATTTAAGTAAAAATTGACTTCCATATTTCAGATAAGGACTTTTACCCCCCTTACATTTAATAAAAACTACACACAATTCTGCACACTGAAAAATACGAACCTTTTATATAAAGAACAAAGAGACTTCCGAGTTGAATCACAGAAATATTATTTGCTTTAGGCCATGTAATGGTGCACTGTAACTATAAATTATTTGCAACCAAAGTGTATGATAATTCCATAAAGCTGCCACGCTCCACTTCCAAATAATACATCTGGAAGGAAAAAGTCAAATGTGCTTCACCCCACGGCAAGACATAAAACTGCTGCAAAAAAAAAAAAAAAATCATTGCCGATTTCTTTCCTTTGAGGTTCCCACCGCATTTCCATGGTGGGCACTGTTATGGGCTGAGTCGTGCCCTCTCCCTGCAAGATTCATATGTTGAAATCCTAACCCCTGGTCCCYCATAAAGTGACTATATAAGAGACAGGGCCTTTAAAAAGGCAATGAAATTTAAATAAGGTCATTAGAGAGGGTCTTCATTCCATCTGACTGGTGTTCCTRTAAGAAGAGGGAGGACATTCCATCACAGGCAACTCAGAGGAAAGGCTAAGTGAAAAGAATAGGTATCTACAAGCCTAAGAAGAAACTAATCTTGYCCATACCTTGATCTTGAACTTCCAGCCTCCAGAATTTGTGAGAAAATGTTTTACTGTTGTTTAAAGCACTCACTTTATGGGACTTTGTTTTAGCAGAACTAGGAAAACTAATGTAGGCAATTTTCTATTTTCTCCTGKGGTCATGCTATAAGGTCTTTTTGCTTACTCCACTATCCCTCACCTGCTCACCTGCCATGCTGCCTGGATGATTTAGATAGAATTTTATTTTGAGATCCATGATAAGATACCAACTTGATTCGCATGAGAAAAGTTTCCAYGAGGACATTTATAGGAGTTGGAAGAAAGAGGAGCATGGCCACTTTGAAAAATAATGGGCAGCAGATGAAATCAGGGACAGGACTTTCTCAGTGCTCCCTCCAAAGGCATCCTGGAACTTCWTCTCAGCCTTCTCTGATGATGCTCTGAGAAAATGAACCTATTATCACYTGTGCAATGACAGATGTCATTCTCAATTTTAAAATACAGTTCTGCTGGTTGGTAGCTGTATGCCACACTTTCCTCAAGTATGCCTCATATTCCAACATATCTAAAAAGTAGGGCTGTACAATGATTGTACAATGCGGTAACTGCCTTGGCATGCATTTTCAAGCCTGTCATAGTTGTTTGAAACCCAGTTAGACCCCATCATCTTTGGCCTAGTTAAAACCTCCACTCCCTGTGTGGGTGGTTGTGATAGGATATATTCACTCTTCATTTCACTGACCTAAAAACCCAACATATCCCACCAATGCTGGCCATGATCCAATCTAATGGCCAACACCAAAGTCATGTAAATATGTTACCTTTTCATGAACATTTTCTTTAAACTAGCCAATCCCAAAAGCCCTGTGTCAAAGCCTGAGGGATAACASTTATGGACCCTAATGAAGGCACAGTCCCACAGACTGTCTGTCTCTCCCTACCCCCTGTTAGTGGAGCTCCATGCTGCCAAAAGCTTCCATTAGCCTCCTGATAGCACCCCTAACCTCTCTGGACCTGTAAGTAATCAATTTATTCTGTATCATGCATTTTGGTTTCACTTCCTCATGATGTCTCACCCAACACATCCATCTGAAACTAACTTTCTCCCCAGTCAGGGCTCTCCTACACAAGTGTCCTTAAGAACACATTAAAAAGAAACCATAACAATAGAAATCACAATACAGGGTCAATCTGTATTGTGTTCTTAGAGTTCTTAGCAGAACTGATTAGAAGATGAATTGATTAGCCCATGTAAAGAAATGAAAGGTGTATTTGGCTAATAGGAAAGAGCCCATAAATGTCAGCAATTGTTCCTAGAGGTGTAGTTACACCTGTGTCATATCTTCAGTAYGATCTCTTCTACTTTAACTTTTATTGTTTTCTCATACATTTTGTTGTAGATTCTCAATTATGATACAATCACAAACATGGGATTAAAGAACCCCCAAACAAAAAGGTTCAGATTCATATAAAAATGACTGTTTTCAGAACTATTATTATTTTGCGTTAGGAAGGGTTATGAGCACTAGCAAGAGACACTCTGAATGCCAGTTTAGGGAAATATATAGTAAGCCAGGAAAAATTCATTCCAATCAAAAATGGAGTGGTTATAAAATAACCATAAATTCACATTAAGGGCAGGCCATGTATATCATATGTATTAGCAATCACATATTCTATTCGCCATCAATTTTATTTTATATCATATATTCGGCATTTACAAATGGCTGATGCCTCGACATTGCAGAAATACAGCATAATTTTTGAGGATTTTGACATTTAGTTTAAAATGTACTCACTATTATAAATAAGCACTGGAAATAATTTCATGAGCATGGTGTGCTTTGAAGCATTGATGTGAAACTGAGGGTGATCTTATTATTCTTTCACTTGCTCAAATACTGAGATGAGTTTTTGGATTTGTTTAACATAGCAATTTTTCAAATAATAATTTATTTGCATAGTTATTAATATATTCTAGACCTCTAAAACTGCCCTATTTTCTAAGAATCTCAGTGTGATTTTTTGGCTCTGCATCATTAGATATACCTGCTGAGGGATAGGTTTGTTTCAACATCAGTGGATCGTAATTACGCAATTATTTTTTTTAATCTAGTGTTCAAGTGAAAACATGTTTTTGTTTTAGAAGACACAAAAATGAACGTCACTATTTTTAAACATCTGAGGGAATATAAAATTTATAAAATCTTAAAAATTATGCTGCAATTTTGATAAGACGAGACGATTTGTGTCAGAGAACAAGTCATATTTTTTACATAATGAACAATTCCTTTTAATAACACTTAAAAATGCACGTATCAATCAGCTCACTGTAGTTAGAAAGGAAATCAAGGTAAAAGATGGAACTAAAGGATTGAAAGAGAAAAAAAAAAAGAACTCCAAATGAAAATTTAAAAAGCCATCAGATTAGGGYCAGAAGAATTTATTAAATTCAACTCATTGCAACAACAGCTTATAAAACAGTTATCATGTGCTTTACACTGTAAAACATTTAGAAGATTCACCTTTTGATTATAAAACTGGAGAAAGGACTTTAAGTTAGAAGAACTGGGTCCACTTAGAGCATTGGCATGGGGGTTGAACATCATCATTTTTCTGCCATGGTTCCCTTCATTGCCCGAGTCCTACAGATAGATCAGCATCTGTGGGTGGGCCATGCTTTTTCTTGTTTAGTTCTGACAGAAGGCTTAAGAGGGTGAATGTGCACCAACACACCCTTTTGTTCACTCTCTCCCACCAACCACAGTCACCCATTGTGTGAAAAAACTACTTACTGATGAGATGGAAACTTCAGGAAAATAAAGCTTTCTGGAAGGCAGGCACTAACAATGCTCACAGTAGCCTGAAATTTCCAGGAGGCAGTTCTTACCGTGGCTAAGGAAAGCACTTTGGGCACTGTGACTTTAATGACACCATAAAAATAACAAGGCATTAAACAAGCCTCAGCCTTAATAGGCTGGAAGAGGGAGAATGGGAAGAAATATTCAAATTATCCCAGTACGACTAATGGCACATTGAGTGGATGTAAATCCATTACTCAAGGTTCTTTAATAACCCTGACATTTCTCCTACATTCTAAAAAGGAGTGTGAAATAAGGTGAATGACTACCATTCTCAGGTTGCCTTAGAAAGTGCCACTGTAGTCATTGCAATTTGGCACGAGAAAATTGGGTGGAGTAGGGCTGGAATGCAGGAACAGTTTGAATCGTGACTACAAATGTAAATGGGTTCCTCAAAATTTCCAACAAAAGGATTTAATGTGATCAATGAAGGCATGAGTCCTGGAAATCTTACTCATTGGGGAAGAAAACACAGACCAAGCAGTAGGGGGCCATGGAGTCATTTGGTCCAAACCCTCACTTGGAGGTAAAGAATGGGGACCGAAGAGATGAAAGGACTTCCTAAGACAGAGAGGTCTAGAGCCCAGGTTTACTGTCATCTCCTTCAGTGCTTAGAAGCTATGATACACATTTGCGGGGATGGCTGACATATGGGAATCACAGTTGTTAACAGTCCTGAAGATGTAAAGTGAGATATAAATATAAGTAATGCTTCTACTTCTTCAATTGTGAGTTTCAAAGGAAACAAATGGCTTTACTCACCTACAGGGAAAAACTCGCTCATTTTCTTTTTGTAGATTTTGAAATCAACTTCTAGGAAGACGCAGAAGATGATCCGATCCACCTAGAGGCAAACAATAAGCACTCAAAGTGAAAGAAAATATGGCAATTTCTTTCCTATAACATGGTCTTAGAACAAACAAAAACAAATGGAAAAACCTCATACAGATGTATTTAGTGATATAGCTAACTACCTCCCAGCATTCAGTGAAGTTCAAGGGTACTGGGGTGTGTGTGTGTGTGTGTGTGTGTGTGTGTGTGTGTGCATGCATGCACGCACACTCTGTATATAAATAAACCCACAAGCTCTTTGGTGGAAAGATGTTATATAAATCAAATAAGAAATAATAAATGACAATAAGCCACTTTGCAGCAAGCTATAAATAAGAGCTGGGAATCCGACAGGATACCTAGACTTTATGTTCTATAAAACAGCCACTCGAGAGGCACACAGCAGAATCACAATAAAGTATGTCAGTAAACAAAGAGCTCTTTGTCCTACTCTTGTTAGATAAATATATTTATCAAACCTGTTAGTATTTGAACATTGTCCTAAAAAACTTCCATGCAACTTGATTGTCTTGAAGTTGCTTATATTTTAGCCTAATATACTCAGAATTGCAGTAGAAATAAAATATTGTTAGTTGACAGTGACACAAGGTCAATATACCATTTAATCTGGTAGATATTTTGAATCCTAAAAAGTCACCTCAAATGTAAAACATGCGCACAGTCTATTTATCCTCTTTCAAACAGAGTTTCTCTGTGTTAGGAGTTTCTTTGAAGCATTCAGAGAGTGGTGTGGTACACAGAGACAAGAGGTGGAATATACATAATGCTCATGCTTAGTCTATATTAAGTTGGTGACTCTGAAAATAAACATCCCTTTAGTTCCTTCATTTGAAGAATGTAGAAAAAAGTTTGAGAATCACTCAGAGTCTATCAAAGTGCAACTGATAAAGCATCAAATAAGGCCTTTCTCATGTTAGTAGGGAATGAAATAGGGCATGAATGCAGCAGGATAAGAAAGAACCCAATGGATATCATCCACCTAAACCTGCAGCTCTCCCAACTTGTGGGGTACAGATCCTGTTTGCCAAGTGTGAAAGTTCCCAGTGAGAGAGACCTGTGGGGTGAGACATGCTTCGTGAGGTGAGACCTCATAACTGGGTCCTGAGGAACCAGCAAGACTGATTCAGACCTCCAATCCGTGGAAGTCCATAGATCTGGCTCCTTCATCCCTTCCCAGGTCTCCACCTCACTCCACCTCAGCTAAGGTGCACTGCCTTCTGGGCAGGCAATGGATTCCATGCTGTAATAAACAAAAACCATACGCCCCTGTAATTGCCCCACAGGACGGATTATAAGAGAAAGCACCTAGCCTTCAGAATTGGAAAGACTAGGGTGCAAATAACCATGTTTCTTTTCTTCTGTTTTCACTTTGGGGTCTGGTGTCCAGCCCTGTTAGCATATCATTAATATATTCTACAAATACAAAAACTATGCCCATTAAATTTATAGTTTACTTTGCAGGTGAACTATAAATTTAGCTGAATAAATTATTAACTCCGTGTAATAACAAATGTGCATCTCCACTCTGCTTATGGTGTGTTTATGTCCCATGACTAAAGCTCAGAATCATAAAGTTGAACAATAGAAAAGAGTTCCCAAAGGTCATGTACTCCATAATAGAAATGCATTTCTAAGAAATTTAAAACATGAATATATAACAGTGTAGAAATACATTGTACTATTTAAATAATTGAGAGGACATTAGGCTGGTATAGCGCCAGACCCCTGRGTTCCTACGTAAACAGACTGAGCGTAAACAGTAAAAAGAAACAATAATCAAATATTTTCTTTGCCTGTATCCACATTCACCCTACAGAAGCCTCCTCATGTACCTTCAGTCCAGCCCAAAGCGTCCCATAATCTGGAGATGTCTAATTCATGAATTTCTGTCTGGTCAAATTCTCAAATTTGAACATGACTCAGTTAATCTTTTGTCAAAACTAAATATGGATACATACAAAGGAGTGCCACACCTAACTTTAGGATAATGTTTTCTGAAGAGGGATGGAAGGCAAAGGATGAGAAAGATAGGGATTTGAGGTATTAGTTAATATTTTATTTATGTAGAAAAAAAAGCTTTGAGAAAAATAAGGCAAATGGCTAATAGGAATTAACTATGCTGCATAAATATATTATTTGTTCTGTAACTTTTTGTATGTTTGAAATACTTCAAAATTAAAAGCCCTAAAATTAATAATAAGACCTGTAGCCTTATTATTTTTTCTTAGACACATCCTACTCTCCACCTGTCTTGAGCTGCTCGTAGTTTCCAAAGATAAAATTATACTCATTTCGGAACCTATGATTGCTAAATTTTCCCCTCCAGGTTTCAGATTATTTCTCAAATCACCTAATTGTGACAAAAAAAAGCAAAAGCAAAAACTTGGCTTAATAGAAATCTAAGAAGACCAAGCTAAACAAGCACATATTTACTCATTTTATTTTAGAACACTCCTTTCCCTGTGTATGTGTGTGAACATATGTGAGTGAATGTGTGTATATGTGTGTGTGTTTGTGGATTAGCTCTTTAGTGTTAATGCTATTCTCTTATTTGTATTTTTAAACACTATAAAATCCATGTCTAAATTTTTCAAATGTTGCAAGAAATTGAAACCTTTCCTTTAGCAAATTAGGCTCTGTTATCATGAAGATAATTTGGGTCCAAAATTCAGCAGTCCAGTTTATTTTTTTGTGAGTGAAAATGGATGATGAGGATGAAGCACTTTATTTATTTATTAATTTGTGGTGTTGGGGATTGAACCCAGGGCCTTGTGCATGTGAAGCAAACACTCTACCAACTGAGCTATATCCCCAGTTACTTTTATTTTTAAATAATTGAGTGGACTAGTTCTCTTTTCTTAGAAGCAAATTGAATCCAAGAATTAACCTCATTCACCATGTACTTATTAGGTATGTATATGTGTGTGTACATACACATTCTCCAAGGTATTGTTGGACAAGAATTTATTTAGTCGACAGGTTCTGTGTTTATAAACTCATCTCGGGTACTGAGTACTCTTCTTCCCACAGCTTTCTTGAACTGGAGAGGTGGGTTCTAAACCCTTTTCTCTTAAATCTGGGAGGCTTGTGACTATGGAAGAAATGATGTAAATCAATTTCAAAATGATATAATTCAATAAAATATCTGCCTGCTTCTCTTGGGAGGCTGTCTCCTGTACATAGTCATCACGCCACGAGGAACCAGAGACCACATGGAGAATCTATATGTAACAATTCCAGCTAACAGCCTTAACTGGAAGAGGGTAGCCTTCAGATGGTTTCCGTTCCAGGCATTTGAGCCACCCCAGCTGATGCCACATGAAGCAGAAATGAGCTGTTGCTGCTAAATGCTGATTGAAAATTCATGAGCAAAGATACAGAAATACATAACCAGAAGTCTGATTTCTTCCAGCTTCTTCCTATCACCACTTTTTGGGGTTTTGTTTTTCTAGCTAAGAAAGAACTTGACTCATGTTGAAAAGGTCACACTGAAGTAGAAATCCAGGAAACAGAATCTACCAAGGGGTGACAAGAAGAACATAGAATGTCTAATTGCTACATGGCTGAAAAGATTGGAGATATGACTTGTGCAAAGGAGAAAGGGCTGAGGTTTTCCATGCTAGCCCTGGATAAATTTCAAGAGAATCTAAAAGAATGGCTCATTACTGAGACAGAGGAGTGTGGTTTCCATTCTTTTTTCTTTAAGTCGTGGGAAATTTTTGTAAAATGTTGAGAGACTATTCATTTATTCACTAGTTACTAAATGGGCAACTTGAATTTGTTGGGTCTAGTCCACATACCATTCAATCACTAGAAAACATGAACCCAGAAACTGAAGCCAAAATTTAATTAATGACAAAAACTCAGGTATCTTAACTGTACAAACAGCATTCTCTCTATGATATCTCCCAGATGGAAACACATGGGATTGAATTTCTAAGCCTATAACTAGCTCTGTGACATTGGGTGGGCCTTCAACTCTGTGGCCCACCAGTTTTCACATCTGTCTAATGAAAGGATTGAACTATATCATCTCTATGGTTTCTTCCTCCTTTGTGATGATGTTTTACATTGTCATTTTAGTAATGAGCTACGTTTCTCTGAGTGGTTCTGGATTAGGGCTGGCCACAGAGAAATTTCCATGAGATTTGTAGGACAGAAGCACAGCTGTAGCCATTGTACTATATCGGTTTAGAGCTCTGGGTAGATTGCACACATCTTCACCTGGGTGTAGGGTGGCGGCTATTGGACTTCTCTAGCTCCTGCCAGTCTCTGCCTCCAGTGTTTTTTGGATCCTATGTTATTCACACATGTTCTCTGCAGTGAGGACACAGGGTCCTTCTGTAGCTTTAAGGCCCAGTGAAGTGAGAGACAGATATGCATGCCAGTTTGTCCCTGTGGAGTCTAGTTTTGGCTCATGACTTCATGTTCTCTCCCATTTTGCACTGAACTTTCCTCATTAACACCTGCTCTTGATCATTGCCCTGCTGACATACTCCAGGCACTGATTGGATGTTTTCCATAGATTTCTTAACCAGCTGCTTTAATCATCTTTTTCATCACTATGACCAAAAGAAAGACTTGAGAAGAAGGAAAAGTTTATTTGGTGCTTAGGGTTTCAGAGGGCTCAGTGCATAGATGGCCAACTCCATTGCTCTAGGCTCAAAGTGAGGCAGAACATCAGGACAAAACAGTGCTGCAGAACAAAGCAGCTCAGGACATGGCAAGGAGGAAGCAGATAGAACCTAGTCAGCAGAGACAAAATATAAACTCCAACGACATGCACCCAGTGACCTATCTTCTCCAGTCACACCCTACCTGCCTGGGTAGATTACCACCCAGTCAATCCCTATCAGTAGATCAATTCAATGATTAGGTTACACCTCTCATCATCTGATCATTTTATCTCAAAATATTCTTGCATTTTGTCACATAAGCTTTTGGGGGGCACCTCATCTCTAAACCATAACACCAGCTCCATTTCATGGGCCC